GATAGATCCTACCCTTCGGAATACTAGACCCGGACTTCAGATCTACCTTACTGAAGTATTGGCACCCTTGCACTCGGTCCAACAAGTCATCGATGAGCGGTAGGGGCTCTGCGTTCGTCATAGTGATTGCATTGAGGCCCCTATAGTCAATGCACATCCTCAATGTCCCCCCCTTCTTTGGTACGAATAGGACAAGAAATCCATAAGGGGAGACACAAGGCCAGATCCAACTCTTGTCTACGAGTTCCTTGAGTTGCCGACGAAGCTCATCGAGCTCCGCTGGAGACATCCGATAGATCCTACCCTTCGGTATACTAGACCCTGGGATAATTCTTATCGTGTGGACGACCTCCCTCTCAACAACCCCTTTTGGCTCTTCAAATAGATCAGGGTGCTTAGCGACCACTCCCTCTATCTCTGGGGGCATTTTTACTGGTTCGCCCTCTATAGAGACATAAACTAAGTGCATACCCTTCTCCGGATTTTGCTTATAATAATTATAAAATGCGGTCGCACACATGCATCCATAGGACTCAATCAGACTACTAGCTTTATACATACGTAATCTGGCGGTCCCCCCTCCCGGCAAAGTGTGTTTGACCACTTTTCGGTTCTAGTCAAACTGGGGCTGTGCAACCGAAAGATAGTACATACCCAACAAGATATCCATAGGGAGATCACAGCTGACTAGGAACGAGACTGATAGGTCAGGTCATATCTTTGAGTCTTCCGCTGCGCTACATTGTGTTATTCTCAAATGTATCTGGATTTACATCGTTTGTTGATGCTTTGATGATGCTGCATCATCCATTCGAGTCCTTTTCATCACTTTGCGGATCCTTGGTTCAATATACATCGCTCAACTGAGCATGTATCACAGGGTTGCACCTCCTCATGCTTGCCTGGAGAGCTGCTCCTTCGAAAGGAAGGACCACCAATTTGGCAGCAGGCAGAACAAGCCATCGTGGAAGACATCCGCACCACGACCCACCAAGCCTGGAAGTCCATGAAGCGACATTACTTCGAAGAGAAAGACCCCCCTTGCCGGACAAGCTATCTGCGACTCCTACATACAAATATGGCAGGACCTGAAAGGAATGTTTTCGGTCCTGGACACTGTTCTGAACATCATATGGAAGCCATGGAGGAGCACGGAACTAACTTTGCAGAGAAAACCCTTCACTGATTTCCAGGTCCCCTATCTCCAACCTAACTTCGTCCGCCTGCCGAGCCAACTGCCACAGCCCCCGCCACACATGTCGCACCCGGCCCAGACAACACGAGGAACATACGAAAGTTGGAGTGACAGACAACAACAACCGCGATGGCACCAAGACCAGAGAAACAGCTGTAGTCTCACTGTCGCATGCCCTGCAGTTGGAACTATGAAAACCGACGTGTCCAAGGGAGCAGGGCCCTCAGACCACGAATGCTGCCCAGCGAAGGGATACTGCAATCGAGCAGTCTAACGTTTCAAGGGCTTAAGGGTGCATGAGGTCGTGCCTCAAAGGTTTAGGAACCGACAGAGCACTGCTAAATGCAACCACGAGCTGCACCGCACCACATGTTGAGACTCAGGGGTTTGAACCAGAGGCAGACCCTGGTCTTCACAGCGGCTGGACATAAGCCCTGTCCGCTGGTCGAACTCTTCAAGGCGCAGGACTGCATCACACACCTAGCGACGCACAAAATGGATTCGGATGTAGACACATAGTCTTTTCTCATCGATTTGCTTTCTGTTGCACTGCATCGCATTGCATCGCATTCCACCTCATTGCTGATCCTCAGGCTTCAGGGAACATGAAAGTGTTATGCATTGGTTTTGGGAGGGTATAGGGTTTAAAGGGTTTAAAGGGTTTAAACTTCAAACTGTAAACTTTAAAGGGACATACATAGCAATAACGAGCAGCGGGGCTGCTGAACAGGGCTGGGCTAATAGAAAATGGGCGCTCCTTGAAGGGACTGGTGATACTGGCAGCTCCATGGGACAACGGAGCCCCGGGCTGATACAGAAATGACCACAGTCCTAGGAACAACAAACAGCAGTCTCTGTGTCATAAGATGTATCAATGGGACGCTGGACCCTGTTTCCAGCAGGTGCCGCTCCCCACCAATAGATGGAGCAGCCCTACGGATAAGCCGTCAATTTTGACGGTTCTCTTACCACCGCCGGGATAGACGGCTTACGCAAGGGCTACTTTCGCAAAAAAAAAAAAAAAAAAAAAAGAAGAAGAAGAACCAAACGCAAGGGCTACTTCCCCAAGCGCTGAACTGGGCGTCTGCCCAAGCAGTACTTAAAATGAGTTTGGGTTCAGAATCTTCTTCTCTTTTCAACATAGTTGCAACATTCGAGGGAGGCAGGACCTGAGCCCTCACTGAGCTCAAGTTCAGACATGTATCAGCAACATTTTCACTCTGTGTACAACAGGGACGCTGGGCCCGGTTTCCAGCAAGTGCAGCTCCCACTAATAGATGGAGCCCTCCAAATACGGGACCACTTACAGAGGCTGCTCTTATCACCTCTGTAAGTGACAACCCTAGCAGGAGAGGTTTTGTTATTAAAAAAAAAGTGACTCCTGCATAGTCGAAACCATATCTAACCCCCCACTAGTGGGGCCCAGTCCCCGATCATGGAAGATCCCATGGAGGGGAAGCATGACTGCATTTTTACTCTGATTTGTCCCATTGTGAGGATTGAGCCCTCAAGTAGGGGGCTTGCCATGATGTACATGTTCTGGTCTAAGGCCCCAGCAAGCCTCGTGCCCGCCCTAAGTGAAGGCGGGCCAGCAAATCAACAAGAGCCCTCTGTGCCAACATTTCACGAAGTGGGGTCC